TTGTTCTGTAGTTTTAATTTCTAATCATTTATTTCTCCTCTGCTTTTAATTATTTTCTTCATTCTTCTGTTTGGGGGTTTTGTTTGTTGTCCTTTGTCTAGCTTTTATTGTTATAAGGTTATAGAGTTTACTTCAGGTTCTTTTTTTTTTTTCCCCTGAGGCAGATCTGTGTTGCTATAAACTTCCCTGTTAGAACCACTTTTCCTGCTTTACAAAAGTTTGAATTGTTGTGTTTTCATTTTCATTTGTTTCCATGTTTTTTGGATTTCTTCTCTGATTTCTTACTTGACCTGTTGATTGTTTAGGAGCATGTTATTTAACTTCCATGTTTTTGTGCTTTTTCCACATTTTTTTTTTCTTGTTGTAGACTTCTACTTTCATAGCATTGTGGTCTGAAAAGACACATGGTATGAGTTCGATCTGCCTGAATTTATTTTGGCTTGTTTTATGACCTAATATTTTATCTAGTGTGGGGAATGTTGCATGTGCGCCTGGAAAGAATGTGTATTGTGCTATTTTAGGATGGAATGTCCTAAGTCTGTCGGTTAAGTCCATCTGGTCTACTCCGTTATTCAAAAAGTCACTACTTCCTTGTTAATTTTCTGATTGAATGATCTCTCCATTGATGTCATTGGATGTTAAAATGCCCTATTATGATTGTATTACTATGATGTATACATCATACTATGTATGATAGTAATACATACTGTTTTGTGTATTTGGATGCTCTCATTGAGCGCATATATGTTTACAATTGTTCTATCTTTTTGTTGATTGTACCTTTTATTATTATAGTATCCTTCTTTGTCTCTTGTTACAGTTTTATTTTTAAATCTATTTTGTCTGATGTAGGTATTGCTACTGCCGTTTTCTTTTGATACTTTATTTCTATAACTAGTGTCTTGTCGGTAGAAGATAGATGGATCCTATATTTTTATTCATTCTTTCACCCAGTGCCTTTTACTATTAAGAGAGAGAGCATAGGTGTGGGACGGCGGGGTGAGGGGAGTGGGGGGGAGAGAGAGAGAATGAGAGATGAATCTTAAGCAAGTTGTATGCTCAGTGCACAGTCCAACATGGGGCTCAATCCCATGATCCTGGGATCATAGCCTGAGCTGAAATCAGTAGTTGAAATCTCCAGTGATTGAGCCATCCAGGGGCCCCTATCTGTCACCCACTGCCTTTGATTTGAACATTTATTCTGTTTCCATTCAAATCAATAGACATGTACTTGTTGTCATTTTATTACTTGATTTTGGTTGTTTATGAATCTTTCTGATCCTTTCTTCTCTTTCTCTTTTTTATGGTTTGCTGGGTTTCTTTAGTAGCACATTTGAAATTGCTTGTCTTTATTCTCTGCATATGTATTAGTGGTGTTTGATTTGTGCTTATTGTTAGGTTTGTAACCTAACCACTTGTGCATATAGAAGTCTATATTAAGTTCATAGTTAAGTTTGAACCAGTTCTTTACTCCTCTCCTCCCAGTGTTGTAGATATGTAGTATCATGTTTCAAAACATTTTATATCATAAATACCTTGACTGATGTTTGATGGAAATACTCATTTTCATTGCTTTTGCGTTTTGCACTTTAATACTGTCACTTTAGGTGTTTATTTTCCACTCAAAGAGTCCCCTTTAACATTTCTTGCTGGGACGGTTTGTTGTTTGTGAACTCACTTCATTTTTATTTGGGAAACTCTTGATCTCTCCTTCTATCTGAATGATAGTGTGCTGAATAAAGTCTCCTTGGCTGCAGATGTTTTCCATTCAGTACCTTTAACATACCATGCTGCTCACTTATGGTTTCAAAGTTTCTTCTGAAAAAATCCAGTGATAACCTTACATGGTTTCCCTTGTAGGTAACTGTCGTCTTGTGTTTTCCTGCTGTTAAAATTTTTCTTTATCACTACATTGTGTGTTTTAATTACTCCATGACTTGGTGTGGATCTGCTTCTGTTGAATATATTGGGGGTTCTTTGTGCCTCCTGCTTCTGGATCTGTTTCCTTCCCCGCATTAGGGAAGTTTTCATCTATTGTGTCTTCAGATTTTCTGGTTCTTTTTCTCAGAGTTCTGAGAATGAGAGATAGGACAGAAAAGACCTATTGAAGGTTCTCTATGAGTCACTGGACTTACATGCATGGAGGATAGGTTTGGGACTCAAATGAACAACCTAACTTTAACTTCAAAGAACTAGAAAAAAACAACAATCTAAGTCCAGTGTTCTCGGATGGGAGAAAGTAATACATATGAGAGTGGAAACAAATGAAAATGAGACCATGAAATGAATAGAAAATATGAAGAAGACCAACAGTGGGTTTTTTGAAAAGTTAAACAAAATTGACAAGACTGTACATAGACTATGCTAAAGACAGAGAGAGGACCCAAATCAAAAGAATTATAAATAAAAGAGAAGACATTACATATGATATCACAGAAACATAAAGGAGACAAAGAGGCGACTATGGCCAAATTGGATGCCAGCAAACCGCCTACCTAGAAGAAATGGATAGGTTCTTAGAAACACACAACCTACCAAGACTGTATCAGGAAGAAAGAGAAGGTTTTCACAGACCAATTAAAGGAAGACTGTATCAATACCAGAAGATAACTAATGCAAGTAATTTGAATCAGTCATTGAAAATCTCCCAGTGAAGAAAAGCCCAGGAGCAGGTGGATTCACTGGTGAATTTGACCAAACGTTTGTAGAAGAAACTAACAGCAGTCCTCTCACTGATTAAAGAGGGATGAACACCACCAAACTCATTTCATGAGATTGGAATTACCCTGTTAGGAAGCCAGTAAAGGATACTACCTGAACAGAAAACTATAGGCCGGTATCCCTGTGATGAATATAGATGAAAATTTTCCAATAATATACAGGCAAACCAAATTCAGCAGCACATTAAAAGGATCATTGATCGTGATGAAGGGCTTTTTCCCTGTAAAGGAAGGATGTCTCAGAAATGCAAATCAATAAATGTGACCCCTCACATAAATGAATGAAAGAAAACTCAACCAGAAACCAGACTCTTAACTATAAATAGCAAACTGAGGGTTACTGGAAGGGAGGTGGGCAGGGAGATGGGTTAAGGGTGATGGGCTAAGGAGGGCATTAGTAGCAAGGAATACCGGGTGTTGTATGTTAGTGATGGATGACTAAATTCCATAACCGAAACTAATATTACACTATATGTTAACCAACTGAAATTTAAGTGAAAACTTGAAAAAATAAATACTAAATATACAAATAAACTGCAATAAATAAATAAATTTTAAAAATTGAAAAGAAATCTCATATGACCATGTCAATAGACACAGAAAAAAATCTTGAGAAAATGTGGTATCCATTTGTCCTAAAAACAAACAAACCAAAAACTCTTTAAAAATTCAGTGTAGAAGGAACATATCTCAACATAAGGAAGTCCATGTTTCTGAAGCCCACAGCTAACGTCATACTCAATAGTGAAATTGTGAAAGATTTTCCTCTAAGATCAGGCACAAGACAAGGATGCCCTATATATGTGAAGGGGATTGGGTGATGCAGGCTTCTGGTTATGGAATGAATAAATCACAGATAGAAGATATAGAATGGGGAACATAGTTAATGGTACTGGAATAGCGATGTATGGTGATGGATACCAGCTACACCTGTGTTAGTGTAGCAGAATGTATACACTTGTCCAATCACTATGTTGTTCATTTGAAACTAGCGTAACATCGTGTGTCAGCTATTCCCAAATAAAATGATTTTTTTAATAAGATAAAAGAATGAAATAAAAAATATAATATCAAAAAGCCTATTAATATCTAATCAAGAAATGCAGTAAAGTTGCAAAATAGAAAGTCACCATACCAAATTCTGTAGCATTCCTATACACTAACCAGATTATCTAAAAAGAAGTAAATAAAACAATCCCACTTACCAAAGCATCAAAAACAATAAAATATATAGGAATAAGTTTGGTCAAGGAAGTGAAAGATCTCTCTACAGAAAACTATTAAACCTGTGTGGAGAAATGGAAGAAATTCAACTTGGATGAAAGAAACGGAAGAATACACGTCAGTGAAAAGCCATCCCGTGTCCATCTTTTGAAGGAATTAATACAGATAAAATGTCCATACTACCCAAAGCCATCTAGAGATTCAGTGCAATCTTTATCAAGACTCCAATGCAATTTTTATACAGTTAGAAAAACATATCCTCAAATGTATTTGGAACCACACAAACACCCCAAGTTGCCAAAGCAAGAAAGAACAAAACAGGAGGCATCACACTTCTTGATTTCAAGCTGCATTCTAACACTAAAGAAATCAGTTATGTCGCTGGTATAAGGACACACACAAGACGATGGAAGAGAAATTGAGAGCCCAAACCCATGCATGCACAGTCAACTAGTATTTGACAAGGGAGTCAAGAATATACAGTGGAGTAAAGTAGTCTCTTGAATAACTGGTGCTGGGAAAATTGGATATTTATAAGAATAAGGTTAGAACCTTATGTTGTTACACCACTCACAAGAATGAACTTGAAATGGATTAAAATGTAAATGAATTATAGGGAAACCTAATTCTTCCTCATCATTTCAGCTCTTATGCCAAGACGGAGCTGTTGAGGTGGTGAAGCGCTGGGGAGAGAGTAGTCCTGGAAATAGAAGCCTGTGTGTGTGGAACAGACTTTCTTTAGTAGTCTGGAATTATCCCTCTGATCCTTTAAGACTAGCCACTTCCTTCCCTACCTTTGCAGACACAGTTAGTACCATGCATGCTGTCAGTAATGCACTGTGTTGTCTCCTCAAGCTCCTAGAAGCTCTAGGTGGGAGCTGGTGGGAAGGATGGAGTTTTGTGGCACCGATGCTGCCCTGTTGAAACCAGGTGGAGGGGAAGGAGACAGGCACTGTTCCTGCTTCACTGGGGTTCAGCTATGTTAGTGTTGGTGTGGTGTTGGATTTTTCACCTTTTACCCTAACACATCTCAAAAGTTTAATTTCTGTCCTGTAGGTCAACGTGGCTGCCAGAACATTTCTTCCTTTCCCAGAAGTGCCCTCCATGTTGTACCCTGTGGGCTGCCCTTTATCACCATCCATGGGCTTTGGGCCACCCCCACCTTCTCCAAGCTGGTGACCTCTGGAACCTCACCCTCCACCTCCACCATCTGGGAAGATGATCTGAACAGTAGGAGTTAACTTAGAAAACACGTTTTGTCTTTCTTCTTGTTGAGTCTTGGGAGAAGATGCAGTGATGGTACTACATGGCTTTCAGGTCAGTCTGAGGACGTTGTAATGTTTTTTGTTTCTCAGGACATGCATGAAATGGACAGTCATTTCCACATAGTGAGTTGGGCAACATATGTCTCTTACAGAGAAGGAAAGAGGCCTTATACAGGCCGACAAACAGAGCACTCCCTAGAATGTAGCTTGTACAGAGACCATGTGCTGGGCTCTCTGAGGGATGAGACACACCCCTAACTTTATTTCTAGCTAGTTGAGACCTGAGCTGTTCACAGCTGCTTGATTAGTTATAAAAACACCTGAACCAGGGCTCTGTGAACCTTCCTCAAGGGACAGCATCAGATCTCCCTCTTGTCCTCAAGGGTCCCCCGAGGCACCTGAAAATCCTCTGCCCCCAGTAAGGGACCCAAGAGTGGGAAAGAGTTGAATATAATGAAACATGTGTCAGAAGGTTTGTTTTTCTTCCACAAAGTCTATGCAAGTCAGAATCACCTCCATCCACCTCCAGCCTTTATGAGACCCAGGACGTGGTACAACTCCCATGGGGAACATCAGTTCTGTCTCTACCAAGGATGCAGAGAAAGACAAGGTAAATTCTGTTGCCCGTTTCAGTTGTAATGGTTTCTGGAAACTTTTATCTGGCCTTGTCTCGTATTCTATGTCCTCTGGTGTCTTTACTGTTTTATTTACATCCTCACAAGCCTCCAGGCTTCTCCAGTTTAAGATCATCATGGTAGCTGGCACCTCTGGAAGCCACAAGTGCGTCGAGGCTGAGGACCGCGTGGCTCTCACTTTGTGGAAATAACTTGAGGAGGATGACACGTCACTGTACCCTCAAATCTTCTGGAGGGGCTGACTCCTTCCACACCTTCTTTACATGGGGTTATTGTTATTATTTTTATTTTTTTCTATTTCATTGTAGGCGATGAACTTGCTCAGAACGTCTGCGATAAGCCTCGTGACTGGAAAAGATGAAAACTCTTTCCAGCTTTATATTGTGTGCTTTGTGCCGTGCTGAATGTTCTTAGATAAATTTCAGAATTCATTACTGATCCTTCTGTGTTGGTAAATGTGCGATAGAGAATTTCTCAGTTGTCCCCTAGGTGGAACTACTCTGAATTATGAGAAGCGGCACGTGTACTCAAAAATGTACATGGAACTGCAGTCGTGAAGGTAGAGAATCAGTGATTACCTACAGGGCTAGTATCTCACAGAGTCCTTCAGTTGTGTTTATATGAGCAGGTTCTCTTGCGTCCCTGGAGCAGTTATAACTGGTACTTTGTCTCACGATACCTTTTGGGAGTTTGACACCTGAAATCCAGACATGTTTCTGTTCATTCTTTTATGTAGAATTTCTACGTCCCTTTCACAATGAGACAGAATAGCTCTGCAACTCATATTGTACTTAAAAGCTGAATTACCTGTGGATTAAGGTAAACATACCTGAGACCAATGAATGTGTACAGGTAATGTGTTTCTCTCCAAAAACACATTTCCAGGCCCCCTGCAGGACTCCAGGGATCCCGTCTCCTCAGAAGTCTCTGTGGCCTTGCAGAGAAGATACCTTTGTCAGGGAGAGAAGCACAGCGAGTACAGGCATGGGCTGGCAGGCTGAGCTCTGACCCTGGGTGGCCTTAATCTCTGTGTGGTGCTGGGCTTTTCTTTCCTGCATGTTCTGTCCGTTCTCAATGTGCAAGTAAAAAGTCTGCAGATGTGGTGGAAGAGGACACCAGAGGGGTCCTGGACACAGATGCCTGCCTCTCTGGAATACGCTTCTTTATTAGACTGGCATTACTGCCATCAGTCTTCTAGAATAGGACGCCTTATTACAAATGCCTACTGCATTTGTAAACACAGGAAGTGACATGTGGTGACAGTAGTTTCTCCTTGTAGCATCTGGTGGGGATGCTTCAGGCTGTAGGTGGGATCTCGTGGGAGGGTAGAGTTTTCTGGCACTGATGCCCTGTTCTAGAACCTGTGAATGAACAAGCAGCCAGGTGCTGACACCTGCTTCATTGGGTTTCAGCTCCTGCAGGTGTTCTGCTTCTGTCTGTCATACCAGCATACCTGTCACTTCTGTTCTGTAGATCCCTATGGATGCAAGAGGACCTCCTCCTTTACCAGGTCCACCCTGCAGGCCCTTCCCCAAAAACCACTTTTATCACTGTTCATGGGCTCTATGAGCCTCCTCCAGCTCCTTGGTGTCCTCAGACACAGGACCCACCACCTCCACCTCAACTATTTATAAAATGATATGAACAGTATGCGTGGACGTGTTCAGCACGTTCAGCTTCTGTCTTGTTGAGTCTTTGAGAAGACATAGAGATGGCCTCACAGGCTTGGCAATGCAAGGGTGCTGCTGGCTGAGGACACTGTCAAGATTCCTCAGGAACTGAACTGGGGAACTGGGCTGCAGGTGTCTCTTATGGAGAAGGAATGAGTCTTTTCATAGAAAAGCAGGCATATCAGTTCTGCAGGTGTGCCTTGTACAGAGTCCGTGTTAATGGCTCTGTGAGAGATGAGGCACACCCCTACCATCAGGGGCTTCAAGTGTCCTAACGGGGAGAGAGTCACATGCATTAAAAGACATGGAGCTTCTGATCTACAATAGTGGCAGCTCCAGTAATGGGGCCTTAAGTACAAGAGCCAGAGACGTGAATCTCATGGGAATGTATTGGAGACTGTGCCTGAGAAGGACGAGCTGAGATGGTCCAGAGGGGAGGGTGTTGGACTCAGTGAGATGGAGTTGGAGGCCATTTCTGGCAGGGCCCACAACCTGGGCAGGGAGAGTGAGCTCAGCGTGAGGTCCACACAGAGCTGCTGCATGGGGTCAAGGACAGTTCATGCAGGTATCATCTCTGAAATGCCACAGTGTCCAGAGTGCACCTAGCTCATTATCGAAATAAAGACTGTTGTTTCCCTTGGTTTTCTGAAGGTTCTGGATCTGTGTGAAAGAATGCCCTGGAGATTTGTAGTTTAACTTGGTTCTTATGGGATGCGTGTCTGCCTAAGTTTGTGTGCCTCTGTGAGACTAGATGGGACAAAAGGTTGTAGATCAGCTGTGTGGCTTCCTTGGCCTTCAGCCTGAGTCAGACTCCTAGCGGGGAATTCAGGGTTGACCACGAAATGCCCCTGCTGGGCTCTTGTCACCGCACCCCTGCACCTGCTGTCACCACCCTGCCTAAAGGTTTGCATCTCTGAAACTTCCCTCACAATTTCCAGAGGCACTGCCTGTGATCCCGCTGTCTCAGCCCTAATGCTAGCTCTCAGTGGGGCCATCTCAGAGCCTAAGCTTTGTAACCTGAGAATCAGGGACACTGTTGGTCTCTGAGGTCAGTGCAATGAAGAGGTGGTTAAGCACATAAGGAATTTGTAAAATGTATGGGATGAGTGGGCATTCACCCTTCTCAGGGGGAAAATGAATGTATCTGCACACAGAAGATCATCAACAGATATTCATTCAATTTCATGAAACTAAGGCTATAATGCCTGAGGCTGGGGAATTGGCAATTCCTGTTTCAAAAGATACAACAAAGACCCCTGTGTTTTTTCTATTAAAATTGGGGTCCTACTTTACAAAGAAGGAAAATATAAGTATGAGAATGTGTAAATTCAGAGATCTACACCTAAGATCTGAAGATAATCCTCTTCCATTACAGGTAGACACACAAATGCAGCCACACAAATATGTGCTCATCCAAAGCCACGGATGTATTGTAGAAGAAAAAATGCATAAAGGAGAACAGAAGATCCGTTTGCAGTTACTAAAAATCACTTTGACATAGAGGGCAATCAGTTTGAAATTTGAAGAGGACACTGAACCATTACAAACCAGCTGTGGTTATTATATATTTAGAGATGGTGTCCAATCTGCCCCTTGGTCTGAATGCTTTCCCTGCCCACCCTGTCCCCTCCACTTTGTCCTTCCTAGTGTCCTCTAATACACTTGTCACAGTCGTGTCTCTGTGTCATCATCTGCTTCCAGGAAAATCGACACTCATTCCCCATCAGGTGTACACTTTCGGGTTCCTGTAACACAGTTAACCAACAGGTAGAATGTATAGTATTGGTGGAAGAAGACAGACCATTCTTTGGGGTTGTATTGCCTGGAAGGGACCTGTAGTTCCATCTGAGGAGTTGTACACATCCTTTAGGGAGCTCTGGTGGTGGTTGTTAAACTCTGTAGGTAGGTACTCATGAGCATATGGCATGCCTGCTAGTTTATGGGGTTTGTGCTGATGAGCAGGTCAGGTATCTGTCTCCAGGAAAGGGTCTATTCTGAAGGTGGGGAATGGATTCAGGAGACCAGTAAGGAGGCCCTGCATTAATCCAGCACTTGTGCCCTTATGTACCTCACCAGCTGCCCCCAATAGCACCAATCCAGGTGGCCTCCAAGGGGGCAAATGGCAGCAATTTTTGTGGTGAGTCACATGAGGTCCCATAAACCTCCCCTGTTGCCTTATTGAGGCATGGGGAGGGCAGAGGTCCATGGTCTGAGATAGGTTTCTTTGACACCACCCAGGAGAGTTGGATTGTAAGCATATGGCTCCTTCTACATCGGCCAATCCAATCCACTTTGCCCCCAGGGACCCTGAACCCTGTGAGCCCCTTTTTCCTCCCAGCTTAGGGAAGCAGCCAGCCCTCCAGCAGCTTTTGGGTCATGGCTGGGCCACCAAGGGTAAATGCCTGGCTGTCCACATGCTGCTAGCATTGCTATAGCAAATGTCAACACGAGCAGCTGCTGTATAGGGGGTTTCTTCTCTATTGTGATCAGGGCCTGGGACCAAATATGACAGAAGAGAGGGAGAGACAGGAGTGCCCTGTGCTCCTGGACAGGGCTGCATGTACAGAGCAAATAGCCTGAAGCCTGGGGAGAGAAAGAGACAGGGAGAGAGACACTGGATGAGTGATGCGGGATTGGGCAAGTCCTAGAGAGTGAAAGGAAGAAACAGAGAGAGATGGGGTTAGAGAGAAACGAAGAAGTACAAGGAGGAAAGTAGGGACCTGGTCCAGGTATGTGGACGGGGTGACATGGGCCAGGGGAGAGGGGGTGTATGAAGTGGCTCAGTGCTGGGGCAGAAAAGGCCGGTATCATGGGCATCAGAGTTCTGTGACTCCCAACACCCTGGGGCCAAGCTCTGCAGAGGGCATTGCATTTTAAAAGACTGGTATCCCTCATTTCTCCTGGAATTGTGGGGCTCAGTCTCATGTTCTGTCATGGAGAGGGGATGTCTTGAGGGAGAGTGTGTTGCTCTTTGGCAGGTAAACTCCAGAGCCTCTCTGTGGGGAGGTGACCCTGGGCCATCTCCCTCACTGCCCCAGGCCCTGCTGCATCCCCCGCAAACCTGCTGGCCTTCCTCATGTTCTGAACCCAGGCATCAGGCATTGTGCTGCCCCCAAGTCCTGCAGTCTGGACCTGGCAGAGGTGGATTGCTGATACTGATAAAAAGTATTTGACAATAAGGTCCATATTCTCCCTCTGGAACTAGCGGTGTGTTTCAAGATAGTGGGTTGCTATCCTCCTGTGCACTGCCAAACTGAGGATGCCAGATGGTAGGTGAACCCTTTAAAACACCGTTGTCTTCTCTTACATCAAAGTCAGAGACATTTTCATCTCCCAGCTTTCTTTTAATTCTGAAGAGATGGCAATTCATAATTGAAGACACAATGGTCCTGTAAGAAATTGACCTATATGACTGATAGACATTGCTTCATTCATCTATATCCCTAAAGCACATTTCATTGAAAATATTAGCCAAGGACACTTACAGTAAATTCCTAACAGATGTGTAGTTCCCTGTAAGTTGCATTCTGACCTTGTCACCTATGTGTCCATCAAAGATATTATTAGTGACTTTTCAGATAAGCTGTCAACATCAAGATGGTGATGTTAGAGAATCTGGTATAAATGGAATTTCACAGATTCTAAATTATGAATGATTATTTTTTCATTTTTAATGTTTATTTTTATTTTTTCCTTTTTTGAGAGATCCTGAGCAGGGGAGGGCGTATAGAGAAGGATACACAGAATCTGAGGCAGGCTCCAGGCTCTGAGCCTGACATAGGGCTCAAACTCATGGACTGCAAGATCATGACCTGAGTCAAGTCGGATGCTTAACCAACTAAGCCACCCAAGTGCCCCAGGAATGATAGTTTATTGGCAAAGAAGTAGAAATTAAAGATAGTGTAAAGGATGTCAATTTTTAATTGAATATTTTTCACACATTTGTTGTGTTAGTTTTAGGCATACATTGTAGTCATTCCATATATCTATAAATTATGTTGTACTTAACTACAAGTGTAGCTATCATGTGAAAGCATGCAACAGTATTAGTACAGGTTGACTCTATTCCATTGGCTGTCCCTTGTATCCCTAGGACTCATTCATTCCATAGCTGGAAGCCAGTATCTCTCTCTCAAAGGTGTCAACTCTTTATCTAACCTAAGTATTTTGGTGGTAGACACATTTACCTCTTGTTCAGTATGTGTAAATTGGTGGTCTGTGTTTCTGTAAACATTGCTTAAAGCATTACAAATGATGTCATTACATTAATAAATTCGGTTTGATTCTTCACTCACAAGAAAGGAGAAGGAAAAGATTTCTTTGTGTCCCAGGCCCTATCAGTAAGACCCTTCCCAATGTGGAGAACAGGCTTAGTTGCCCAGAGCACCTTGGGTCCATCAGCTGAGTGACCAGGGCCTTCCACATTGCAGGAATTCCCATGGTGGCCAGCAGAGAGAGCTAGAGCACCACAAAGCAGGAGGGGCTGGTTCCTCTGGGTGCACAGTGAAGGCCTGCAGAGGGTACCCCATTGGCTTTTCTGACCCAGGGCACCTCAGAACAGGAAGGGCTTCTGTTCCCAGAGGACTCAGGGCCTCTGCTGCTGCCTTAGGACAGAGACCAGGGTGCGATTCCAGCAGGTTCTGCTGCCCATCCCAGGGGAGGCCTTGGGAGCTTTGCAGCAACTTGGCATCTCCTGAGTCACCAGAGAGAAACTGCCTTGTTGTACTGAGTGCTGAGGAGGGGGCGCTGGGTGGCTTCCCTGGGCGCGCTGGTCGGTCAGCAGCACAGGCCCTTGCACTTTCTGGGCTGTTCCCATGTTTCATTCCTCCCCTCCCTAGACAGTATTTGAACAAGACGTATTTTACTAAAGGACCTGTGGATTGAGGGGTCTCATGACATCACATCATAGATGCTGTGGATGGTTTGTTCCAGATTCAGGCTTGTTTCCGGGAAGAAATCCTGACGGAAATTCAGAAAAACGGGAGCTGCGTTCCATTAGGACATGAATGCATGAAATGCTCATCTCAGGACCTTCTAGAAGAATGAGCTGGGACCCACTTCCGAGTCCTGCTGGAACCAGAGACCGAGGTAAGGGCACAAACTGGGCCCCACATCATACATGCTTTTTAAAAATTTAATGATTAACCCAAAGCTATCTACACATTCAATGCAATCCCACTCAAAATTGCACCAGCATTCTTCTTGAAGCTAGAACGAGCAATCCTAAAATTCATATGGAACCACAAAAAGCCCTGAATAGCCAAAGTAATTTTGAAGAAGACCAAAGCAGGAGGCATCACAATCCCAGACTTTAGCCTCTACTACAAAGCTGTCATCATCAAGACAGCATTGTAGTGGCACAAAAACAGACACATCGACCAATGGAATAGAATAGAAACCCCAGAACTAGACCCACAAAAGTATGGCCAGCTAATCTTTGACAAAGCAGGAAAGAATATCCAATGGAAAAAAGACAGTCTCTTTAACAAATGGTGCTGGGACAACTGGGCAGCAACATGCAGAAGAATGAACCTAGACCACTTTCTTACACCATTCACAAAAATAAACTCAAAATGGATAAAGGACCTGAATGTGAGACAGGAAACAATCAAAACCCTAGAGGAGAAAGCAGGAAAAGACCTCTCTGACCTCAGCCGTAGCAATTTCTTACTTGACACATCCCCAAAGGCAAGGGAATTAAAAGCAAAAATGAACTATTGGGACCTCATGAAGATAAAAAGCTTCTGCACAGCAAAGGAAACAATCAACAAAACTAAAAGGCAAGTGATGGAATGGGAAAAAATATTTTCAAATGACATATCAGACAAAGGGCTAGTATCCACAATCTATAAAGAGTTCACCAAATTCCACACCCAAAAAACAAATAATCCAATGAAGAAATGGGCAGAAAACATGAATAGACACTTCTCTAAAGAAGACATCCGGATGACCAACAGGCACATGAAAAGATGCTCAACGTCGCTCCTCATCAGGGAAATACAAATCAAAACCACACTCAGATATCACCTCACGCCAGTCAGAGTGGCCAAAATGAACAAATCAGGAGACTATAGATGCTGGAGAGGATGTGGAGAAACGGGAACCCTCTTGCACTGTTGGTGGGAATGCAAACTGGTACAGCCGCTCTGGAAAACAGTGTGGAGGTTGCTCAAAAAATTAAAAATAGACCTATCCTATGACCCAGCAGTAGCACTGCTAGGAATTTACCCAAGGGATACAGGAGTACTGATGCATAGGGGCACTTGTACCCCAATGTTTATAGCAGCACTCTCAACAATAGCCAAGTTGTGGAAAGAGCCTAAGTGTCCATCAACTGATGAATGGATGAAGAAATTGTGGTTTATATACACAATGGAGTACTACGTGGCAATGAGAAAGAATGAAATATGGCCCTTTGTAGCAACGTGGATGGAACTGGAGAGTGTGATGCTAAATGAAATAAGCCATACAGAGAAAGACAGATACCATATGGTTTCACTCTTTTGTGGAACCTGAGAAACTTAACAGAAACCCATGGGGGAGGGGAAGGAAAAAAAAGAGAGATTAGAGTGGGAGAGAGCCAATGCATAAGAGACTCTTAAAAACTGAGAACTGAGGGTTGATGGGGGGTGGGAGGGAGGGGAGGGTAGGTGATGCGTATTGAAGATGGCATCTTTTGGGATGAGCACTGGGTATTGTATGGAAACCAATTTGAGAATAAATTTCATATATTAAAAAAAACAGAAAAAAAATTTAAAAAAATTTAAAAAGTAAATAAAAATGTAACGGTTATTTTTCCAACATAGTGAAGTGATTGAAAACTACAGAAAACCTGGTAGGTGTCATTAACCTTATGTTATTTTTTAATTTAAATTCTAGTTAGTAAAGATACAGTGTAATATTAGTTTCAGGTGTACAATGTAGAGCAACACTAAACATGTCATCTGGTGCTCATCCCAAGTGCACTTAATACCCATCACCTGTTTCACCCATCCCCCACCCCAGTGGGGAAACCCTCAGTTTGTTTCCTAGTTAAGAGTCTGTGTTTCACTGTCTCCTTCCCCCCCCCCCCGCCTTTGTTTTGTTTCATTTCCATGTGTTAGTGAAATCATCTGGTATTTGTCTTTCTCTGACAGGCTTATTTCACCTAGCATGACATTCTCCCGCTCCATCCACCTCATGGCAAATGACAAAATTTCATGTTTTTACAGCTAAATAATATTCCATTCCATATACTATATCTCAATTTATTCAGCAGTTGATGGAAACTTGGGCAGTTTCCATAATTTGGCTGTTGTAGAAAATGCTGCTGTAAACATCAGTGTGCATGTATCCCTTTGAAGCATTATTTTTGTATTCTTTGTGTAAATACCTCGTAGTGAAATTGCTGGATCATAAGGTAGTTCTATTTTCAATTTTTTGAGGAATCTCCTTGGTATTTTCCAGAGTGGCTGCACCAGTTTGCATTCCTACCAACAGTGCAAGAGGTTTCCTTTTTCCCCACATCCTTGGCAACACCTGCTGTTTCATCATTCGTTGATTTTAGTCATTCTGACAGATGTGATGAGTTATCTCATTGTACTTTAGAATTGTATTTCCCTGAAGATCAGTATTGTTGAGCATCTTTTCATGTGTCTCTTGGCTATCTGTCTGTCTTCTTTGGGAAAATGTCTATTCATGTCTTCTGCCCATTTTTAATTGGATTTCTCTTTTTTTGCGTGCTGTGTAACTTTATATATTTTGGACACTAACCCTTTATCAGATGTCGTTTGCAAATATCATCATCCTGTAGGTTGTGTTTTAGTTTTGTTGATTGTTTCCTTGGTGACAGAAGCTTTTTATTTTTAGGAAGTCCCATTATTTTTCTTGTGTTTCCTTACCTCAGGAGATATATCTACAAAGACATTTGTACAGCCAGTGTCAAAAAAGATACTGCCTGTGTTATCCTCTGGGATTTTTATGGTTTTAGGTTTCACACATAGGTCGTTATCCATGTTGGATTCATTTTTGTTTATGTTGTAAGAAAGTGGTCTGTTGTTTTTGTTTGTTTTGCAGGTTGCTGTCTAGTTTTTCCAAAACCATATGTTGGAGAGACTTTTTTTTTAAGTGTATTTATTTATTTTTGAGAGAGAGAGAGAGACAGAGCATGCAGAAGAGAGGCAGAGAGAAATAGAATCCCATGCAGACTCTGCACTGTGTGGAGCCCGGCACGGGTTTGAAACTGATGAAACCTGAGATCATCACCTGAGCTGAAGCCATGATCAGACGCTTCAGTGACTGAGCCACCCATGTGCCCCAAGACTATCTTTTTTTCAATTGGATATTCCTTCCTGCTTTGTTGAGGATTAATTGACCATATAGGTATGAGTTGATTTCTGGGTTTCCATTCTATTGATCTATGCGTCTGTGGTTGGTTTTGTTTTGTTTTGTTTTGCTAGTACCATACTGTTCTGATCACTATAGCTTTTTTTTAAAAATTTTTTTAGTGTTTATTTTTGACAGAGAGAGAGACAGAACATGAGCGGGGGAGGGGCAGAGAGAGAAGGAGATACAGAATCTGAAATAGGCTCCAGGCTCTGAGCTGTCAGCACAGAGCCCGATGTGGGGCTAGAACTCACAGACTGCGAGATCATGACCTGAGCCGAAGTCGGATGCTCAATTGACTGAGCCACCCAGGCGCCCCACGGTAGCTTTGTAATATGACCTAAAGTCTGGAATTGTGATGTCTCCATCTTTGCTTTTCTTCAAGTTTGTTTTGGCTGTTTGGGGTCTTTTGTTGTTCCATACAAATTTTGGGATTATTTGTTCTAATTCTGTGACAAATTTTTTGTTAGTGTAATAGGGATTTCATTACATGTGTAGATTGTTTTGAGGAGTATAGTCATTTTAACAGTATTTTGTTCTTCCCATCCATGAACATGAAATGTATTTCCCTTTCTTTGTTTCCTCTTCCATTTCTTTCATCAGTGTTTCATAGTCTTTAGAGTGTAAGTCTTTCACCTCTTTGGTTAGGTTTATTCCTGGTATGTTGTGGTATTTGGTGTACCTGTCAATGGGATTGATTCCTTAATTTCTCTCTCTGTTCATGATTCGTCTATAGAAATGCAATAGATTTCTGTACATTGATTTCTGTATATTGTGACTTGTCAAATTCATATATCAATTCTAGCAATTTCTATCAGAGTCTTTCATGATTTTTATAGAGAGCATCATGTCAGTTACAAATAGTGAAAGTTCTACTTCTTCCTTGCTGATTTGGATCCCTCTTATTTCTTTTTGTTGTATGATTGCTGTGGCTAGGACTTCCAGTACTATGTGGAATAACTGGTGAGAGGGGTCATCCCCATCTTGTTCCTGACCTTGGAGGAAAAGCTTTCAATTTTTCCCCATTGAGGATGAGATTAGCTGTGTGTTTTTCGTAGATGACCTTTATTATGTGCAGGTAGGTTGAGTCTCAGTCTACTTTGCTGAGGGTTTTTTATCATGAATGGATGTGACATTTTGTCAAGTGCTTTTCCTGCATCTGTTGAAAGTATCATATTGTCTTTATCCTTTCTTCTATTACTGTGGTGCATCATGTTGATTGATCTGTGAATGTGGAACCACCCTTGCAGCCCAGGAATATATCCCACTTGATTATGGTAAATGATTCTATTAATGTATTGTTGACTTTAATTTGAAGGTATTTTAATGAGAATTTCTGTGTACATACTCATTAGGCTATTGGTCTGCAGTTTTATTTTTTAAAAAAATTAAAATTTTTTTTTAACATTTATTTATTTTTGAGAGAGAGAGAGAGAGACAGAGCTCAAGAGGGGAAGGGCCAGAGAGAGGGAGACACAGAATCTGAAGCAGGCTCCAGGCTTTGAGCTGTCAGCACAGAGCCTGACCCGGAGTTTGAACTCACGACCCGCGAGATCATGACCTGAGCCGAAGTCGGACGCTTAATCGACTGAGCCACCCAGGTGCCCCTATTTAAAAAAAATTTTTTTAACATATTTTTGAATGCTTATTTATTTATGTAGAGAGATAGAGTACATAAAAGTGAGGGAGGGGCAGAGAGACAGGGAGAGAGAATCCTGAGCATGCTCCACTGTCAGCACAGGGTACAATGTGGGACTCAAATGCATAAACCGCAAGATAATGACCTAATCCGAAATTAAGAGTTGAACAGCCAACCGACCAAGCCACCCAGGCGCCCCGGCAGTTTTTGGTTTTAGTGGAGGCTTTATCTGATTTTGGTACCAGGGTAATAATGGCCTGATAGCATGGGTTTGTAAGTTTTCCTTCTTTTTTATTTTTTGTAATAATTCAAGAAGAATAGATATTACCTCTTCCTTACATGTTTGGTAGAATTAATCACTGAAGCCTTCTGGCCCTGAACTCTTGTGTTGGGGGAGATATGTTTTTATTACTGATTCAGTTTCTTTCTGGTTTCTGATTTTATGTATCTACCTGTTTCAGTTTTGGTAGTTTATGTGTTTCTAGGAATTTATCCATTTTTCCCAGAGTGTCCAATTTGTTGCATATAGTTTTTCATAGTGTTATCTTCTAATTGTATTTCTGTGGTGGGGACTGTTATTTCTCCTCTCTTATTTGTGATTTTATTTATTTGAGTCCTTTCTTTCTTCTTTGTGAAAAGTCTGTCTAGGAGGTTTTCAAATTGATTACTGTTTTCCAAAGAACCAGCCCCTGGCTTCATTGATTTGGTCTAGTGTTTTTTAGTTTCTATATCACTTATTTATCCCTTAATCTTTATTATTTCCTTCCTTCTGCCATCCTTAGGGTTGGATTGTTCTTCTTCTCATTCCTTTAGTTGTAAGTTTGGATTGTTTGAGATTTTTCTTGCTCTGTAAGGTAGGCTTGTATTGCTATATACTTCTATCTTAGACTGCTTTTGCCGCATTCCAAAGGTTTTTACCAGTGTATTTACATTTTCATTTGTTTCAGTGTATTTTCTCATTCATTTCCTGGTTGACCCATTCATTTAGTAGCATGTTGTTTAACCTCCCTTTATTTGTGGCCTTTCCTTTTTTTTTTTTTCTTTTATTTTTTGGGGGGAGGGCGTTGACTTCAAGTTTCTTAGCTTTGTGGTCAGAAAAGATGCTTGGTCTGATCTCTGGGTACCTGTTGAGGCCTGATTTGTGACCTAGAATGTGATCGATTCTGGAGAATGTCCCATGTACACTTGAAAAGAATGTGTATTCTGCCATTTTAGTATGAGTGTTCTGAATATGTTTGTCTTTCTCTGATTGACATATTTCACTTAGCATAATATATTCTAGCTCCATCCACATTGTTGCAGATGGCAAGATTTCATTCTTTTTTGATGGCTGAGTGATATTTCATTGTATATATGTGTGTGTGTGTGTGTGTGTGTATGTATGTATGTATGTATGTCTGTATATATATGTCTGTATGTATACACACACACACCCCACAACTTCTTTATACCTTCAGCAGTTGAGTTGATGGATATTTGGGCTTTCTCTATAGTTTTGCTATTGTTGATAATGCTGCTATAAATAATGGGTGTATGCAATTTCACTATTAGGTATTTACCCAAAGGGTACCAAAATACAGTCTTGGTTTTAAAGTTTATTTTGCCTGATATAAGTATTGCTGTTGGCTTTCTTTTGACATTATTGGCATGAGAAATGTTTCTTCATTCCCTCACTTTAAATCTGAAGGTGACTTTAGGTCCAAATAAGGCTTTGTAGGCAGCATCTAGATACGTCTTGGGTTTTTTTGTTTGTTTGTTTCTTTTCTTTTTTTTTCTTTTGTCCATTCTGACACCCTATTCGGTGTCTTTTTATTGGAGTATTTAGTCCATTTACATTCAGAGTAATTATTGATAGATATATAGTTAGTGCCATTTTATTGGGTGTTTTGCCATTATTTCTTGATGTTTTCTCTGATCCTTTGTTGTCTGTATCACTTTTGGTCTTTCATTTCCACTTAAAGAGTCCGATTTAAATATTCTTTTCTTTTGATTGGTATTAATTAATTTATTTTTCATATATATATATATTTTAATTTAAGCCCAAGTTAGTTATCTTATAGAATACATTTTCAGGAGTAGAATTTAGTGATCCATCAACTACGAAAAATACCCAGTACTCATCGCAAGTGCCCCCCTCCAGTGCCTGTCACCCATTTAGCCTATCCCTATTCAGTAACCCTCCAGGAACCCTGAGTTTCTTCTCTGTATTTAAGAGTCTCTTATCATTTGACTCCCTCTCTGTTTGTATCTTATTTTTGCCTTCCTTTCACTATGTTCATCAGCTTAATTTCTTAAATTCCATAGATGAGAGAAATCATATGATGTGTGTCTTTCTCTGACATTTTGCTTAGCATAATATAGTTCAGTTCCATCCACAGTGTTGCAGATAGCAAGATTTCATTCTTTCTGATCGCTGAGTAATATTCCACTGTATAAATATACCACATCTTCTTTATCCATTCATCAGTCAATGGTCATTTGGGCTTTTTGCATAATTTAGCTATTGTTGATAATGCTGCTATAAATATTGGAGTGCATGTGCCACTTTAAGTCAGCGTTTGTGTATCCTTTGGATAAATACCTAGTAGTGCAATTGCTGGGTCATAGTGTAGTTCTATTTTTAATTTTTGTGACGAATCTCCATACTATTTTCCAGTGTGGCTATACCACTTTGAATTCCCACCAGCATTGCAAAAGGGTTCCCTTTCTCTGCATCCTTGCCAACACCTGTAAATTCCTGAGATGTTAATTTTAGCCATTCTGATAGGTGTGAGGGGCTATCTCATTGTGGTTTTGATTTGAATTTCAATGATGTTGAGTGAGGTTGAGCATCTTTTTTTATGTGTGACCAATCTGGATGTCATCTTTGGTAAAGTGTCTCTTCATGTCTTTTGCCCATTTCTTCACTGGATTATTTGGTTTTTGGGTGTTGAGTTTGATACATTTTTTTATAGATTTTGGATACTAACCCTTTACCTGATGTGTCACTTGCAAATATCTTCTCCCATTCCATCATCTGCCTTTTACTTTTGCTGATTGTGTCCTCTGATGTGCAGAAGCTTTTTATCTGGAGGTCCCAATAGTTCATTTTTGTTTTTGTTTCCCTTGCTTCTGGAGACACGACAAGCAAGAATTTGCTGTGGCCAGGATCAAAGAGGTAGGTTGCCTATTTTCTCCTCTAGGATTTTGATGGTTCCTGTCTTACATTTAGATCTTTCATCCATTTTGAGGTGTGTGTGTGTGTGTGTGTGTGTGTGTGTGTGTGTGTGTGGTTTAAGAACATAGTCCAGATTCATTCTTCTCGCTGTCCAGTTTTCCCAGTACCATTTGCTGAAGAGACTCTTTTTTTCCATTGGATATTCTTTCATTCTTTGTCAAAGATTACTCGGCCATATGTTTGAGGGTCCATTTCTGGGTTCCCTATTCTGTTCCATTGATCTCTGTGTCTCTTTTTGTGTCCGTACCATACTGTCTTGATGATTGCAGCTTTCTAATACACCATAAAGTCCAGAATTATAATGTCTCCAGCTTTGTTTTCTTTTTCAATATGACTTTGGCTATTTGGGGTCTTTTCTGGTTCCTTATAAATTTTAGGGTTGGTTGTTCTAGCTCTGTGAAGAATGCTGGTGTTATTTTGATAGGGATTGCATTGAATGTGTCGATTGCTTTGGGTAGTATTGACATTTTAACAATATTTGCTCTTCTAATCCATGAGCATGGAATGTTTTTCCATTTCTTTCTGTCTTCTTCAATTTATTTCATAGATGTTATATTGTTTTTTCTTTTAATTTTTTTTTAATGTTTGTTTATTTTTGAGAGAGAGACAGAGCATGAGCAGGGGAGGGGCAGAGAGAGAGGGAGACACAGAATGTGAAGCAGGCTCCAGGCTCCAAGCTGTCAGCACAGAGCCCATCGTGGGACTCCAACCCACAAATGTGGGATCATAACCTGAGCTGAAGTCAGTGCTTAACTGACTGAGCCACCCAGGGGCCCCTCTACTGTTTTAAGTGTACTGATCTTTCACCTCTTTGGTTAGGTTTATCCCTGGGTATTTTATGGTTTTCAGTGCAATTGTAAATGAGATCAATTCCTTGATTTCCTGCTGCTTCATTATTGGCATATAGAAATGCAACCAAATTCTATATCTTGATTTTATATCCTGAGACTTTCCTGAATTCCTGTATCAGTCCTAGAAGTTTTTTGGTGGAGTCTTTTGGATTTTCCACGGAGAGTATCATGTCTGTGAGGAGGGTAAGTTTGACCCCTCCTTGCCAGTTTATACACCTTGTATTTCTTTTTGTTGTCTGATTGTTGAGGCTAGGACTTCTGACAGTATGTTGAATTATAGTGGTGAGAGTGGACATCCCTGTTGTGTTCCTGACCTTAGGGGGAAATCTCTCTTTTTTCCCCACTGAAGAGGATATTAGCTGTGGGACTTT